GGCAGAATGCTTGCCTAGCATGTGTGAGGCACTGGTTTTGATCATTAGCACTGCATTAAAAAATAATAAATAAAAAGTAAATGCATTCTGTCCATATACAACTACAAAAAATTATAAAAATAGAATACCTGACACAAAGGCATGATATCTCACATACCATAGCATCTTATTAGGAAATTCACTTTTGCAGGGAAAAAAAATTGCAGGGGCTGGCTCATACCAATGAAATGAACTACTGGTATCCCCTACTGCACCATCTATAAATACCCCTGATAAATCATTGCAATGGCTTTCTCTAAGTACAGCCAAAATGAAGGCACAAAGGACATAGTCTGCTGGGATGTAGTATCATCCTCTAGAATGCAGACCTTTATGTTGTGTTGTAAAAAAGAATATTGATGAGGGCTAGGGTTGTGGTTCAGCGGTAGAGAGCTCACCTTGCCATGCACCAGGCCCTGGGTTCCATCCTCAGAACCACATGCAAATAAACTCAGTGAAATAAAGATATTTTGAAAAAAAAAGAATATTGATGAGAACCAAGGTATAGAAGCATATTGGCCACTCTTAATATCATTCTCAATGATTGCAAGTGCACTTCTGGGTATATATTGGCTGGTAGGCCATCTATTGTCATTTCTGTTGGAGAATGCCCAATACAACACACCCCATTTTAGAGGTGAGCTCTCTAACTCTCCCACCCCAGACATGGAGTCTGCTACTCCAGCTGTGGGCTGATCATGTGGATGGAGGTTACAAACATGAGTCAAATGCATTGTATTCCTTGTGTTGTAGTTGACAGAGAAACAAGAAATAAGGAGATCATGTGGCAAGGCCTGTGTGTGTGAGAGAGAGAGAGAGTGTGAGTGTGTGTGTGTGTGTGTGTGTGTGCCTGCGTTTGTGCATATGTATACATGCATACACATGTGCTTGCAGGCTATTGAACATCCAAAATCTTTTGTGGGGCAGATCACAAATCACAGATTCTGCTGATAATGGAGCTGGAGAACAGATCTATAGTTTTAAAATTTATTTATAAAATTTACAAACAATACAATTCACTGTGTGCATGTATACTTCTACTTGTTTTTTAAGCATGCATAAATGTTTTCATCTATGACCACAAATAGGATACAAAACAATTCCAACACCTCAATTTCTTTGTGCATGTCCTTTGTAATGAGATCCTCCCCTATCCAAACACTTGGTAACCACTGATTAGTTTTCTGCCTTTTCCAGAATGTCATATAAAAGAATCACATGGCATATAACTTTTTGGGACTGGAGTCTTTCTGTTAGCATAATAAATGTGAAGTTCATCCATGTTGCTGCATATATCAGTTCTTTTTTTTTAAAATTGGTGAATAGCATTCCATTTTGTGAATATTCCACAATATATCCATTAATCCACTGAAGAACACTTTGTATTATTTCCAGTTTTTTATTTTAAGTGATACTATAAACATTCATATACAGGTTTGTATGTGAATATAAGTTTTAATTTCCTAGGGTAAATACTTAAAGTGAGATTGCTGGGTCATATGGGAAGTATATGTGTAACTTAAGAGACTGAAAAATTGGGTTGGGGATATAGCTTGGTGGTAAAGTGCATGCATGAGGCTCTGGGTTCAATCCCAGAGCCGAGAGAGAGAGAGAGAGAGAGAGAGAGAGAGAGAGAGAGAAACTGTTTTCGAGAGTAGCTTAGCCATTTTGTATTTATATTAGCAACATTTGAAAGTTACTCCATATTGTCACAGAACTTGGTACTGTTTATACCTAGGGTTTTGAAAAAATCAAGATTATATAAATTTATGACTGTTTGAAATGGTTGAAATAAGTGTATTTTGTTTTATTTTGTTTTTCTGTTGTGAGTTGGGCATGGCAAGCCTGATTCTAGTGCTACACTGGAAATTGAGTGGAGAAATATAAGGATTACCTGGCTAAAAAGGCTCATGTTTAAGATGCACTGAATACTGACACTGGGGCCATAGGAAGTGAGATAGGCTTGATCACATACTCTAGGAGAAAATACACAAGAGTTGAAGAACTATATTTAGAGGATGGAGTTGATTTACAGTTGGATTCCAAGTTCTAGCATTACCTCTTTGATGCCTATATGTCTAATTTTGATTCCTGGTAGAGATGAGGGCAGTGAGATATGCAAGTTATATTTAAAGCTTGATAGTGCCCTGGAGACTCCCAGAGGCAATTTTTTTACTGATGATTTTCAACTTGCTAGTCAGATAGCCTGGCTAGACTGTGTAATCAGTGAACAGAGTACATTTGCAGAGAACTTTTGAGTGCTCTCAAAGGCAAGTTTCATATACATCTTAGTATTTAATCCCAGAGGCAGTGTGCAGTCTTTTGTGAATAAGGATACTAGAGTTTAAACCTGGATTATTCACAGACACCCCCCCCCAATGCTTGCATGCCCTTTGCTTTTAAATAAAACCATTACATGGATATGCTCTGTGGAGTCCTTTGAGTGAATAATTATCTTTGTACATGTCTATGATTTTGCAGTTGGGTCTACGACATAAGAATCTGCAAAATTATACTTATATGTTTAAGTTTATATATAGATAGAATATTATAATATTTAATATATATTTATAATATATTTTATTTATTAAAGTCTTTCAAAATATGTATTTTATAATGTATGAATTTATATAATATATAAATGTATAATTATATAACATATAAATGTATCATATATGTTATATATAATATATATAAATCCATGTCTTCTTTACTCCTAAATAAATATATACATATTTAGAAGTAAGCAGACTCGGATGTTAAAATCATGTTTGCTCCTCACAGCTGCCCACACATAATATAGTAATAGTTGAATTACATGAAAAATCCTCATGTTTATCAATTCATAAATGGAAAAATCTCCAACTTCAACAGAAATCTTCAAGCAGGATTCTGGAATTTAGTCTAATGCTGCTTCATGACAAAATATAAACTAATTGACCCAAATTTTCTAAGAGTAGCTTAAATATAAATAGCTACTACAAAATAAAAATTCAATTATGCTTTCTTTGAAGCATTCAAAAGTACCTCCTAGGAGGATGTGAGTGTACTTATATTTGTTGTAATCCATTTCTTTTTTCCTCTTTGCACCTTAGTTTGTGGGACTTCATGAGAACTGACTCTGTATAGAACTGTTTGAAGACAGACATTTGGGGCCATTTTCATTTTTGCAAAATTGGGAAGTATGCATTTGAATAGGTAATTTAATTAGATTCTCTTAACTAAATAATCAAATTTAATTTAAAAGTATCCATTCTTTACTTTTTTTGGTATGAATTCTTTGACATTGTATTAGGAGCTATGGATAAAGTCATTCTTCATTTTTTTCTAAACTTATTCTTACAATCATTTCACTTGAATAACTCCTATCCAAATGAATTTCCCAACGTTTAAGATTTAAGTTTTCCATATTCAACATTTACAAATGACAAGTAATATAAAGTCCACCCACTTTCCAACTTTCATATTCTCATAAGATTTTTTCTAGTTAGAATTCTCTGATGTTGAGAAAGGAAAATGTTGAGTATCTTTCTGTAGTATAATTTCTTTTAAATTTTTTAGTTGTATATGGATACAATGCTTTTATTTTATTTGTTTTATTCTTTATAAATAACTTTATTTTATTTATTCATTCATTTTTTATGTGGTGCTGGGGAATGAACCATGTGCTCACATAAAAAAGTTATGTGAGCACATGTTAGGTGAGCGCTCTACCACTGAACCACACCCAGTCCCTATTTATTTTATTTTTATGTGACACTAAGGATAAAACCCAGTGCCTCACACATGGTAGGCAAGTGTTCTACCATTGAGCCACAACCCCATATCCTCTAATATAACTTTTCAAAATTTCAAATAAGTCATTAACTATGGCTAAAAGTTAGCCCTGTATTTATTATATTTGTCTGGCATTGTATTAAAATTAGAGCTATTGCTAAAAACCTTTCTACATGCATTATATTCATGTTCCCAGTTTTTCCAACATTGATTTAATTTTTTCCCTAGCATGAATTCTGTGGTTTGAACCACCACCATGTTGATAATATACATAGTAGTTTCTCTTTAGAGTAAATTATCTCATGCTGTGAAAATTCTGAGTTGTTTGGCAGTTATTTACCGAAGGTGATTGAGCATACAAATTCCCTAAGACCCAGAAATTCCACTCCCTAACTATATACATAAGAGAAGTGCACATATGTACACAAAAGACTAATGTGTTCTCAAAAGCATTATTTATTATGACCCTAAGCGTTAAAAAATGTAAGAGGCAATCAACAGGAAAATGGATAAATTGTGATATACTCATATTAATGGAATTCTATATAGAATAAAAAGAAATGAACTTCTGTCACATGCACTAATGATTACACTGAGAGACAATGATGAAATAAACAAGCCAATTCTGAATGAATACATGGTACATAATCCAATTAATATAAGGGTTTATAATATGGAAAAACAAATTTATAATGTTAGAGGTCAAAGTTGTGGTTAACTTTGAGGAGGTAACTAATTTTTATTCCATTTTTGCAAGAAGAAATAAAAGTTCTCACCTCCTCTCTCTCTTTATTCTTTTTTTTTGTTGTTGTTGTTGTTACTGGGGATTGAAACCAGGGGCACCTTGCTACTGAGCTATATCCCCAGTCTTTATTTTTTTTTATTTTGAGACAGGGTCTCACCAAGTTTCTTTGGGCCTTGCTAAGCTGCTGAGGCCAGCATCAAACTTGCAATCCTCCTTGCCTCTGCCTCCCAAGTTGCTGGGATTACAGGTGTGTGCCACAATGCCCAGCATACCTCCATTATTCCAAATGACTTCTATTCACAGTGTATTCATGGGCCACTGCCAACTGGCCAGCTGTTTATTATTGGTTCATAAAAAGTATTGAAACTACTTTGTATCGAAATTGAAAATAATTTTAAATGTTCATAGCAATTTAAAGAGGATGTTTTGGTCCAGTGAATTTAATAAAAATTTAGGCTTTTATTTTCAAAGATTTTTGTTTAAATTTCCAACAATACTGTGTGTGTATATGTGTTTTACAGGCTACCAAACAATAAATACATGGCATATTATCTTAAATTACTAAATATTATTACACTTGTAAGCAACATTAGGTACAGTGTTGCTATGACTTGAAAAGCTTTTATTAAAAACGTCACATCACTTACTGAATTTACTGAATTCTCATAGTTTCTACTTTGTGAGTTTTCTGGTGGACAATGAGGTTTGACTTACAACTGAAGAATTTCCCACATTCTTTACATTCATATGGTTTCTCTCCTGTGTGTGTTTTTTGATGGCGAATGAGGTTTGATTTTCTACTAAAAGCTTTCCCACATTGAGGACATCCATTGGATTTTTCACCCGTATGTATTCTGTGATGAACAGTAAGGATTGCCTTCTGGCGGAAGGACTTCCCACATTCATTACAAATATAGGGTTTTTCCCCTGTATGAATTCTCTGATGGAGAGTGAGGGTAGTCTTTTGGCAAAAGGATTTCCCACATTCGTTACAAATATAGGGTTTCTCTCCTGTGTGAGTTCTCTGATGTACAGTGAGGGTTGTCTTCTGGATAAATGCCTTCCCACACTCATTACATTGATATGGTTTCTCCCCTGTGTGAGTTCTCTGATGATCAATGAGGTATGACTTCTTTCTAAAGGCACTTCCACACTGAGTACACTCATAGGCCTTCTCCCCTGTATGTGTTTTGTGATGTCTAGTGAGGGTTGCCTTCTGGCGGAAGGATTTCCCACAATCAATACAAAGATAGGGTTTCCCCTCTATGTGTGTTTTTTCATGAAGAGTGAGGGCTGTCTTCTGGCGAAAGGCCTTTCCACATTGACTGCAAACATAGGGTTTCTCACCTGTGTGAATTCGTTGATGTTCAATGAGGTATGACTTCCTTCTGAAGCCATTCCCACAGTAAGGACACTGAAAGGGTTTCTCTTCTATTTGAGATCTCTGATGCATAATAAAAACAGACTTTCTGCACAGGAATTTCCCATTCCCATATTTGTTGTATGAAGAGGACTTCTTTTCTATAAGATTATGTGGATGGATACCAAGATCTGACCTTTCTAGGAAGGCAATTCCATCTTTATTGAATTCAAAGGTTCTTTCTCCTCTGTGAGCTTCAGTCTGTGTAAATAACATTCCTTTCATAAGGAAGGATTTGTCACGTTCATTACATTCAAATGGCTGCTCTGGAGTTTGAACCTTCTGATGTTGAGTAACTTCCTGTTTACCATCAACATTCTTTTCTGTTTGTTTATGGAAATTTATTGATGGTTGAATTTTCTCATGCTTAGTATTGAGGACTGATTTCTCCCAACCATTACTCTCACCAAACTTCTCTCTTGCAGGGTTTATATTTCTAATAACTAATTCTGAAATATTTTTCAAAACTTTTCCATCAGGTTTATTATATTCACATAACATTGTTTTTGAAATCATGTGGTTCTTGCCTGGAGTAAGGGTTTTCCCATAAATATTACTTCTTTCCTTAATAAGTTTTTTGTGATTGATAAACACAACTGATCTAGATTGCTTGTCTTGGAATTCTTTGAACTTCACTAAAACATCTTCAGCTTTCCCATCTTCTAGAAAAGAATACAATTAACAACATTGTAAGTCTTTTTATACATACTGTGAATTGCATGTATATATGAACAACTCATATGAAACTATCCGTTTTGTTACTGTGGTCTAAAAAAGGCTAGAATAAATAACCTCTTGGTAGAGAAAACAAACAAAAACCCTGCTGTGCCACCGAAATGAGGAAAAACTGGCATAAACAAAGAACAATTATATCTTTGGCATGCTGCAATTGTCAGCTGCATGGAGATGGTATAATAAGCACAAACAGAGGTGAACATTAGACAAGAATTGTGGAAGAGTAATTGTTCTTAGATGGGAAAATTACGAGATAATAAAATGAGCCTAGCAAGGGAACCAAATAGTAAGTAGTGTAACAAGGAAAATTATTTAGGCAGAGATGAAAACCTACATATTTATTTCCTCATTTCTTATATAAATATTGTAAAATGCTTCCACTCATTTCTTCCTCATTTCCACTTATTCAATCCATAGCAAATGAACTTTCTCAAACTCATTTCCTAATGTACACAAACACTGACTTACAGTTCTGGCCCTCACTGACCATATGACTATGATTTATTTTCTCTTGAAGTAAAGAATCAAGAAAACATATTTCCATGAAGAATTATAAAGTTAACAAGAAGACAAATTATACTTGCAACATGAATATATAATCATTATTGTATTATGATTGTTGCTACCATCAATTTATTCTCCCAGAAGTGGTCAGTAATAAAACTCTCCTGACCATCAATTTAACCTCTTCTCTTTTCAATATGTTGAATTACTTTTTTTCAGTTTTAGAGGAAAAGGATTCAAGTTTTCCTCCCAATGTAGAAACATCCATCAGCTTTGTTATTCTCTGTAGGGGTGTGAAGGAATAGATTCTTCAATGAATAAGTAGGGTACTAACTGACCTTAAATATAATTGCTTCTTGGTTACTTGGGATTGAACCCAGAGGTACTTTATCACTGAGCCACATCACTAGCCTGTTTTAATTTTAATTTTGAGACAAGGTCTCACTAATTGCCCAGGATAGCCTTGAACTTGTGATCCTCCTGCATCAGCCTCTCAATTAGCTGGGATTCTAGGTGTGCAGCAGTACATCTGGCTTAACTATATTTTTTCTATAAGTTCTTGACTATATAATAGTATTATTACTTATCATTCACATTTGGGGGAGCAATCCCAAGGGTAGATTCAGCTTACCTACGACACATTTTTATTTATAATAGCACCACACTGGAAAAAAGTTCAAATATCCATCAAAATGTAAACAGATAATAATGTATTTTGTATACAGGCACAATGGAATTATACCTCAGTAAGAAAAAGGAAACCTATAATATATAATGGCCAACAGGGATGATTCTCATTTTTCATAGTGTAAGATTTATGCAATAAAGTTCATATACGGTATAATTCCACTTTTGTGTACTTCTTAAACACGTAAAACTAGGCTATTTGGTAATTGAAGTTAAATTGTCTTCCTCAGAACCTCAAATAGCTCCAAGATATGCTACTATCCATTTTTTCCCAAGGCCTTCACATGGTCTTTCTACTTTTCAGTGTCTAATTTGTCTGAAATTGGCATAAAAGTAGGGTCTAGACCATCCATTTCAAGAAATCTTTGAAAAACCTGATATTTTAACATGACTATTCCATTTAAATGCTCAATTTGATAATTTTGCTTTCCCAGCCCAAACCACGTGCTTTTATTAGTCAATAATTATATAGTCAATTCACTATCTGAGATATTCTGAGTACACATTGTTATACGAGGTGAGGGAATGTTATTTTCAGCAGATATTTCTATAAAGAACTTAACATTAAGTGATTTCTAAATGAATTCACTGCATGGCACCATAAGATAATGAATAAGATAACTATTAAATACCTAGTCTGTTACAAGCTATAGTAAGTAGAGGCAAAATAAAGGACTTTAGCTAGGTATGTTGATCCATTCCTGTAATCTCAGAGACTCAGGAGACTGAGGCAGGAGGATCAGAATGCTGAGGAAGCCAGCCTGAACCTGTCTCAAAATACAAAATAAAAAGGGCCAGAAATATAGGAGAGACCTTGACTACCATGTATGAGGCCTTGGGTTCAATCCCCAGCATTAAAGGAAAGAAACTAACAACACTAAAAAGACTCCAAAGGAGAGTGACTGTGATAAAAGGTGAATGTTGATATATTTTGAAGCTCTTTTAAAGACTGTTATAACTTTTTGTTTGAACTGGAGATTTAACCCCAGGGGCACTTAACCACTGAGTTTCAAACCCAACACTTATTTTTGGGCTGGGGATGTGGCTCAAGAGGTAGCGCGCTCGCCTGGCATGTGCGTGGCACTGGGTTTGATCCTCAAAACCATATAAAAAAATAAAGATATTGTGTCCACCTAAAAATAAAAAATAAATACTAAAAAATAAATAAATAAAACATTATTTTCATTTTAGTACAGAGTCTCACTAAATTACTGAGGCTGGTCTGAAACTGGCAATCCTCCTGCCTCTGCCTCCCAAATCTCTGGGATTACAAGTGTATACCATCACTCCAAGGAAAGGCCAGAAGACTGTTATAAGTTTTGATATTATGTGGACTGGGGTTGTGACTCAGTGGTAGAACACTTGCCTAGCATGTGTGAGGCACTGAGTTTGATTCTCAGAACCACATATAACTAAGTGAATAAAATAAAGGTTCATCAATATCTAAAAAAATTTTGATACTATGTCCCTCTTTATTGCTATAATATTCCATGTGCTGAAATTTGCTGTCTGATACATAGTCACTACATTTTCTTTTACTAAGCATTTATATGTGTAGCAGAGTCTGACTCCATTTTTGATGCCTTAACTGCTGCTACCTTTCTAGACTTGTCTTTATTTCTCTCTTTCTTTGGCAATATTAGAAAATGAACAGCAGGGCTTTGCACATGCTAGTCAAGCACTCTACCACTGAGCTATATCTCCAAACTTTTTCATTTTTTAAATTTTGAGATAGGGTTGTACTAAGTTGCCAAAGCTGGCCTTAATCTTATGACTCAAGGTTCCTGAGTTGCTGAGATTATGGGAATGTTCCACCCAACTCTAGCCTTTTATTTATTTATTTTTAAATTTTGAGACAGGTTCTCACTAAACTGCCAAGAATGTCCTCAAACTTGTGATCCTTCTGCCCTAGCCTCTTGAGTAGCTGGGATTACAGGTCTGCACCACATGCCCGACTCTCTTTCCCCCCTTTTTTTAAACCATCCTACTTTACACAGGTAAGTCAATATAAAACACTCATGCTCTGTGATTAAGGTGTGTGCCACTGTGTCCAGAGACAATGAGGTAACTTATGATGGTGTTTTAACATCTTAGTCTGCAATTCTATCACCTCTATTTATTTAGGCTTGTTCCCTCTCTCAAAATATTCATTATATTGTATACTCACCCTTCTTGTGATAATAGGAAGTGATACAAAGCCCATATGATGAGAAGAATGACTTAGGCATTGTGATATAGTTAGGCTACTACCCAAGAATCACTTGAACACAGTATTGAGATACTGATATTATGACAGTTGATCTGACAACAAAGAGGCAACTAAGTGATTAGTGAGTTGCTGGACAAAGGGATGATGTACATCCCAGGTGGGACAGAATGAGACACTATGAGATTTCATCATGCTACTCAGAGCAGTGCGCATATTAAAACTCATGGATTACTTATTTCTGGAATTTTCCATTTAATAGTTTTTGGACTGTAGATGACCTGTAAGTAACTGAAACCTTGGTTAAGGAATATTACTATATTAAACAGTAATAACAACAATAAAACCTAACACAACCATAAATATGAAGTCAATATATGAAAATTGTGTTTATATAAATCAGCCACAAACTAGAAGAAGTAAATTTAAAAATCCTGCCTTGGGCTAGGAGTATAGCTCAGTTGGTGCATGCAAAAGGCCCTAGAATTCAGTCGTCAGAGAACACAAAAAATCCTACTATTTACAATATCATAAAAATATTAAAAATATAAACTTAATTAATAATGTACAATTATAAAAATAATAAAACACTCCTTATAGAAATTTGGAAACCTACTAAAATGGAAAGCTAAAGTATGGTTACAAACCAGAAGACTCAATAGTGCTAAGATATTAGTTCTCTCAAATCCTGGGACATTTACTTAAAGAAATAAAGAAGTTGATTGTAATATGTATTTGAGAAGAAAATGACCTAGAACGCCAAAACAATTTAAAAGGGAATAAACTTGGAGGGCTTAAATTAACTCTCCTCAAGACTCATTATAAAATCACAGTAATCACAGAACAGGTAGTATTGGAAATATGACTTAAATATATCAAAGGAAATAATAGAGAGTTAAAAAATGGAGTGACACAAATATGATCAAATAATTTTCTATATGATCACCAGAACAATTTGATTCAACTTAACAAATAGTGATGGAACTAATTGAGATCCATATGGAGGAAAATACCCTTGAGGACTTACCTCATATCATAAGTGAAATTTAACATGAGGTAGATCATAAAATTAATCATAAAACAAAAATATACACAACATTCTCAGAAGAAAATATAGGGAACTACCATAATAACTTGGACAGATATTTGTGAGATCAAAGAACTAATTATAAAAGAAAAAATGGCTAAACTGGACTTCCTCAAAATTAAGTACTTCTGTTCATAAAGATACCTTAAAAATGAATAGGTACACCCTGGGCCAAGCCACTATCTTCCCTTGCTTGGATCAATGCATTGACTGGCCTCCTACCTGACCTTCCTAGATCTATATCTATCTTCCTCTCAGTCAATGCTCAACCATGCCACTTTCAGCTACTATACTACACCAAGGAACATAATTTTAATAAATTCCAACTGAAGTTGAGCTGGGCACATTTGTTCAGGTCCACAATCCTAGCTATACAGGATGACTGCAAGTTTGAGTCCAGTCTTGTCAACTTAATGAGGAGACCCTTGTCTCAAAAAAAATTGTTTTTAAAGGGTTGGGGATGTAGTTCAGTGGTAAACTGTCCTTGAGTTTAATTCCCAGGATTGTAAAAAACAGACAAACAAACTGATATTAGATCATGAATGCCTTGTTGAAAACCTTCCAATGGCTCCCACTTTAACCATAATAAAAGTCAAAACCCTCACAGCGCCTTCCAAGGGCACAGGTGCCTCAGGCCTCTTAACCTTCAGGCCTCTTCTCTCTTTTCACCCCTTCCCCCGCCATTCACTCTGCTCCAGTCACAGATGACAAACAGAACTACCCTCAGTGCTTTTCACCTACTGTTCTGCATAAAAGGGACCTGCATTAAAGGTCCCTTCCTAAACTCTGCTAGGTCCACTTCCTCTCTTCCCTTAGGTCTTCACTCATATTTTATTTTTAAAAAAGTAACTCCCTGCTTTGTAAAAAAAATTTCACAACCTCCTCACCACATTCTCTTCCTCTGCCTCACTTTTCCCTCCTTTCCACTTTTCACATTACATACCATACTATTCTACGTCTACCTCTTTATGGTGTTTCTGGCATGGCTTTCCCAGCAGAATAAGTGCTTTATGAGGCAAGAAAATTCAGCTGCACCCACAGTGCCTTGAACAGTGACTATCATACAGTACAACACTGGTAAAATAAGTAAGATTATAAATTATTAGCTAATATAATACTTTCTCTTTTTCTTCTTTGGGATCCTGGGTAGGTTAAAACGCTAAATACTTAAGAAAATGAATATTGAACAACAGCAGAGGAGGTAGAGAGGGAAGATGGGAGGGGAGGGGAGGGGAGGGGGGATAGTAGGGGATAGGAAAGGTAGCAGAATACAACAGTCACTAATATGCCATTATGTAAAAATGTGAGTAGGTAACAGAAGTGAGTCTGCATTATGTATTTGGGGAGTTCAAAACCCAATTGAGTCAAATGTATGAATGATGATATATCATGAGCTCTGTAATGTTTTGAACAATCAATAAAAAAAATGGAAAAAAAAAGAAAATGAATAGGCACACTAAAGAATAGAGGAAATATTTGCAATGTGTACATTGAACAAAAGATTCCTATCTAAAATATGTAAAAATTCCTATTACTCAATGAAAAATATATACTACCCAATAAAAAATCAACACTTGAGTGAACACCTGTAATATAAAAAGCACTTAAAAATTTTTTCAACATATAATTTATAAGAGAAATCTAAGTTAAATTGGAAAGATATACTATCAGGAAGTAATGTAGAAGAGAATGTGGGATAAAGTTCTTATACATTGCTGGCAAAAGTCTAAGATGGCACAGTAACTTTAAAAAACTGGCAATTAACATATACCTGATTTATAAATCAACAGAATCACTGTTAGGAGTTTACTGAGGAGAAATAAACACCTTTGTCCACAAAAAGATTTTTATAAGAATGTTTACAGCAGCTTTATTAATAATGTATCCAAACTAGAAAGACCCCAAATGTCTATTAATAGAACATAAAGAAACAAACTGGTATATTTGTACAATTGAATACTATCCCACAATTAAAGTAAGAAACTATGCAAACAAGTGTAAATTTCTCAGACATTGAGCTCATATGACAAAGGTCTATAAAAGTCAAAACGAATCTCTGCTGGTGGAAATCACAACTGTGATTATCCTGGGGAGGGACTGATCTGGAAGAGACCTGACAGAACTTAATGGGATGTGAGAATATGGGTTGCTACTTTTGCACAACTCAAAGAAATTACTGAAGGTCACTTTGTATGAAATACCTACAAATCTTGGAATGGATTCTTGGTAAGTTAACAGTGAGCCAATATTTCTATAAACAGAAGGCAAACAAGAAATAATTTATATGAGAAATGATATTGAAAACTAAAATTTAGATTTTTAGAGGTATGACACTCAGCCACATATGGACACTTCACAGATCTCAGGTCTTTTTTTTTAGCTGTAGATGGACACATGCCTTTATTTATTTTCATGTGGTGCTAAGGATTGAACCCAGTGCCTCACATGTGCTAGGCAAGCACTCTACCATTGAGCCACAACCCCAGCCCAGATCTCAGGTCTTTAGAAATAGATCCCTAATTAGATGGTTATCATAAAAAATTGTTCTGGGCATAGCAGTGTACACCTGTAATCTTAGCTACATGGGAGGCTGACATGGCAGGATTCTAAGTTTGAGGCCAGCCTGGGCAAATTAGCAAGACACTATCTCAAAAAAAAAAAAAAAAAAAGAAGGTGAGGGGGCAGGCATACAGGTGCATGCCTATAATCCCAGCAGTTTGAGGCCAGCCTTGGCAAATTAGTGAGACCCTGTCTCAAAATAAAAATATAAATAAAAAGGGTTGGAGATGGAAGTAACTTAGTGGTGGACCACCCTGGGTTCAATCCCCAGTGTGGCAAAATAAATAAATAAATAAATAAACAAACCCAGTAAAATAATGTGAATCAATATATAAAAATGGCTGGGAATGAAACTTAGTGGTAGAGTACCTCTGGGTTTAATTCCTAGTAAAACACACACACACACACACACACACACTCCTAGAAAATAAGTGTTGGTGAAAATGTGAAGAAATAGGAACCCTTGCCCACTATGGTAGGAATGTAAAATGATGCAGCTCATATGGAAAACAGAATGGTAACACCTCAAAAATTAAGCATAGAGTCTTGACAGGATCCAGGAATTCTATTTTTGGGAACATACCCAAAAGAATTAAAACCAGAGACTCACGATGATACATATGCTTATACATAGCAGCATTATTCATAATAGCAACCCAACTCATTCATGAATGAGTGAATAAGCAAATCATAGTATATGTATATGTAAACAACGGAATTTTTTAATGTTTATTTTTTAATTGTAGTTGAACACAATACCTTTATTTAATTTATTTATTTTTATGTAGTGCTGAGGATTGAACTCAGAGCCTTCCATCTGCCAAGCAAGCGATCTACCACTGAGCCACAATCCCAGCCCAACAGTGGAATATTAATCAGCCTTAAAAAGGAAGGAAACCCTGAGACATGTTACAACATGGAAGAGCTTTGAGGACATTAAGTAAAATAAGCCAGTCACAAAAAAGGAAAAATGCTAAATTATTCTACTTATAAGAGGCACCAACAGTAGTCGAATTCACAGAGTCATAAAGAAGAATGGTGGTGTCTAGGGGCTAGGAGTTCTAGTAATGGGAAGTTATTGTTTAAAGGGTACTGAGTTTCAGTTTTTCAAGATGTAGAGTTCTGGAAATGGATGGTAGTTATGACTGCATAAAAATGTGAATGTACTTAACACTGCTGAAGTATATGCTTACAAATATTTAAGATGATAAATTTTCTGTTATGTATATTTTACCACAATTTTTAAAAGTAGGTCCCTAAAAACATGCAAAGTTGGTATCAACTACCTGAGTTTTGATGTCCACTGGACTTTTGGCTGTATAGACTCACCTAGGTAGCTCTGACTTGCAAAATTTCTCTCTGACCATAGTTCTTCTCCTTGTTCCAACTTGCGGATCATATCAGGCTTAGTTATGTGAAATCCTAAAAATGAAAAAGGAGACTTGGTCTAAACTGGACTCCAAAATATTGAAGGAAAAGAAAGATATAGCATCAAGGTGGCAGATGAGGGACATGCTAACATCTTATTAAGTTAATATCTTGCACTCAGCAAGATTTCTGCTAACAAAAAGAAATTTATCATTTTTGATACCTGCAATCAAAATTCTTTATATTTCAGGATGTTTTTCCTGTGGTGCTTGGATCCAACCCAGGGTCTTCTGCATCTAAGTATGGGCTTTTCCATTCATCCCCACCTGTTTTAGGAATTCTTGAAAGGAAGTATATGATATTGAAAGATTCAAGGAGGGTCCCTTACCCACAGAAATGAAGTGGCAGTAGTTTTCCAACATCACATCCCTGTAGAGGGCCTTCTGAGTAGGATCCAGTTGCTGCCATTCCTCCTGGGTGAAGTCCACAGTCACATCCTTGAATGACACTGATCCCTGTAAGGGCATACTCTAGTTCATCCTGAAGTGATCGGAAATGGGTGAGAACTAGATATTGGAAACCTAGTTCTAAAAATGTTCAGTGATCAGACAGTTTTAAAAATTATTTTATATTATAAAAATTTCTCTCTGAAGATATATTTATCAATATTATTGTCTCATGCTAATATGTATATATATATTACATATGTGTACATATCGATATATATGTATGTATGCATGTATGTATGTATCTATATAGAGTGATCAGATTATTTGACCTGAATGTGACTGGCTATCTGATGGATCAAAATGAATACAATCCTGATTCTGCTTATGAGAAAGTACAGGCTAAGAGAGAGGCATACATGCACTCAATAGGTATTACATATGCAATGACAGAAATACATACAAGGGAAAGTGTCATAAAGCAAAGAAAATTTTCATTTTGTACTCTGAAGCTTCACTGAGGACATAAAAATTTTGTACTCACAATAAATTTGTTTTGTAGGAATACAGGGCATCTGTTTTTAAAAATTCATGGGGAGAAGAAAACCAGTTAGTAAATTCAGGAAATAGCAAAAGGTATAGTATGTTAGGAAACAATTTTTGAGCTCTGAAAAGGAAAAGATATGGAAGAAGATAGGAATTTTATTATGGAATAATACTGAACTTTTTTTCCTTTATAGCAGTGGTCTTAAAAATGTAGTGAATACATCCCCAAAATATTCATGGTTACATATAAAATAACAAATAGGCATTAATGGCAATCCATATTGTTAATGATAACTGCTCTCAAATATATACTGTTAATATTTTCTTCTCTTCCAGTATAATGTCTTGTACATTCCACTATGATGCAAGCTCCATTTTGAGTCTCTGCTTTAAGGAGTATAAAGAACATGAAAAACAAAAGTAAATACATGTTATATGATAAAATTTTTACTTTTGAGGCAACACTTTCAATGACTGGCAAAGATGCTTATGGTGTGTTAAGTAGGAAAGACAAGAAACCACTTAGAAATGCCTCATAGGTTAAGATCATAGTAATGAACTGAGAGAAGATAGGTGATTACTAGATGATGAAAATCAACAGAATTGGTCACAAATTGGCTTTAGAGTGGAAAAAAGAAAGGCAAGACTATCAGATTATCTGAATAGGCAAGTGTGTAGGTGCTAGGACTAGTAAATAGAAATGGGAAAAAGAGAGAATAGGCTGAGCAAAAGGAGGTTATAAGGTAACCTTAGAAAGATACTTAAAGTGAAGTAACATATAGAGGGTGGTAACTATTGGATGTTGAATATATGGTTCAGACACTTAAGAGGTCAAAGTGAGACCCACTGAAATCAAGAATGTGTAGCCTTCACAGTGAATCTGACGTGTACAGAGGAAAAGGCTGTAAAGAGAAGAAAATCAATTAGCACCTGGGGAAAACCAGTATTTTAAAGGTTGGTAGATGAGGAATTTTCTGTAAGAAAAAGAAAAATAGGACAGAGTACCACTTTTGATTTAAGTGTAGATATTTCAGGAGTGGACTAGCATATGCATTTCCTTCCCCTGTACAAACATAAAAAATGAGAAGAAACTAAAAAGAATAAGTCAGTAACAGCACTGGAATACTGGAAAGATTTTTCACTGGCAGGCCACAATTTGTAGAAACTGTTGGCAGACATGAGTAAAATAGGAAGACAGGAGAAGAGGAATACAAAACCTGAGTTTTCACTGAGGTTGTGGCTCAGTGGTAGAGTACTTTCCTAGCATGTGTGAGGTACTGGGTTCAATCCTCAGCACCATATAAATAAGTAAAATAAAGTTTAAAAAACCCTCAGTTTTCTATACAAATTCATATCAAATCTCCATACTGAAAAACCTCACAAAACACGACATCCTTCCACAAAGTAATAATATGAACTACCCATTCTACCTCCCACCATATCATTGCAAAAATCTTGATTAGTGGAGATAAGCAAGGTTTTTCTGTCTGCTCCTTGACTAGTTACAACTTGGGTGTAGAAGTAGGGTCAAGAAAAGGTAGATTCATTCCAAGTAATATATTTCTGTTAAATCAAGACAATAGCTTTCTGTTACAGCAGTATGTTAGTGAGAAGACTGAGAAAGGAGATGATGAATGATATATCCAGTCACACTTGGGGAAGGCTTCAGCTTATCTGGCTGGAAGGGAGAATTTGGAAACAGGGTTGCAAATAGGATAAGGTGGGTGAAACACAGAGGGTGCAAAATTTAGGAAGGCATAGCACTAACAGTATGCCTTAAAAATCGTACCTCACTCCATTTGCTTGCCTCACCCTAATCTGGGTCCTGACTGAAGACATTCCATGAAAGCAAATCTCAACATCCAGGAAGTTTAAGTAACATTGCTAAATAAATGTTCATATTCCCTGGGGAAAAGAAAAGAGAGGAAATATCATCTCACCTTAGACATAGCTTTGAGATTTGTAGGAGATGAAATTTCTCTTTGAACTCTTCTTTTGGTAAGGAAAGAGTCCTATTGAGGCAAAAATAGAGATATATAAGGAGCCATGTGAGTACATACTTGACTTAGATCTTCCAGAATAACTAGGTAAAGCTATATTAATTTTCACAGTTTCATCACTTGCCCACTGCATACACTTCAGAAATACAGGCTAGAGGTTAGTGGGAACATGGGACAAATTCAGCTTTTCCCCAATTCTAGAACCCTAGTCTCTTGCTGAAGAAGAATGGATTCTAGGAACCTGTAAAGCCTGTTAAGCTTGGAAAGGGAACATTGTTTTACACCCTGTGACTCTACCTCCCATCTCCCATGGAGCACAGGTTTGTTTCCAAATTGTTTTTCATGGACTGTCCATTTACACTGTTACCAACAGTGCATGAGACTATCTTCCCATGCCCTGACAAACAAGTTCAGAACTTTTAAATCTTTGCCTATTGGTAGTTCTAAAGTATACACTTACTATGATGAAAATAAGCTTATTTTAATAAGTTAAAAGCCATTCCTTATTTCTTTCTTAATGCATTTCCATATGTTTATTTTATTTACTTATTTATCATGGGTTTTTAGGTTTTATTGTTTTTGTTTTTTGTGGTGCTGGGGATTGAACATAGAGCTTTATGCATGCTAGGCAAGTGCTCTACCACTGAGCTGTACCCCCAGCCTGTATCTTCTGTGTTTTTTCTTTTTCTCTAATTTAGGAAATTAACCCTTTACCTATTTTAAGTTGCAAACAAATTTTCTTGGTTTGTCATATGACTATTAGTGTCTTTGCCTTTTGAATATTTTTTTCTCCTATAAGCTTTATTTAGTAGGAGCTGGGGATATAGCTCAGTTGGTAGAGTGCTTGCCTTGCATGCACAAGGCCCTGGGTTCAATCCCTAGCACCACCACCCCGCAAAAAAGAAATCCACTTTTATTATCTGTACACGTGGAAAATAAGATTACGTACCCCATTTGAAACAAATATGTAATATGTCAAGATCATTGTAATATTTTGAGCAACTAATAAAAAAGTTTTATTTAGCAATACCACATACTATATAATCTAAATAATTTCAACTGATGGTAAATGTGATCTTTATCACACATTCAATTTCCCTAGGTGACTAAGTCTGAACATTCTGTTTTTCTACTCAACTTTTTATTGCTTTACCTGAAGCACATTACTTAAGAAGCAAGGTTGCTGAAATTAAGTATTCTGTTGTAGTACATGTATGGGAAATAGAAAAGTAACTGTTTAAGCACACTTTGTACTCTGTAGGGTTCCAGACAGAAGGAATATTATTTTGCTAAGAAAAGTTTTAAATGTTGACTGCTGCAGTGAATATTTTAGTTACCAAAATAATTATTTTATCTGGGCACAGTGGGGCACACCTGTAATCATAGCCACTTGGGGACTGAGTCAGGAGGATTGCAAGTTTGAGGCCAGCCTGGGCAAGACCCCAAATAAAAAATAAAAAGGCTGGGGAGATAGCTTAGTGGTAGAGTTACCATGGATTCATCCTCAGTAAAAACAGAAGGAAAAAATTCAATTATTTTAAGTACTAAAATGAGACTGGCCTTGTAATTAGAAGTGTTATCAAAGACTCTTAGAATGCGGGAAGACGCTATCAGCCTTGATTGAATCCATGAGCAGGAAAATTCACTAATATATGTGTTAAAAGTGGTAGTTATGGGTAAAAATTATTTTTTCCTGCATGCTCTCCATGAAACACTGTTCAACACATTGATTTTGGTTATTATGGTGCTTACAGGACACGAATCTAACCTCCTGGGAATTATGAAAATCTTACTATTGCTTTTTACTACCTGTACTTCTATTGTATTTGCAAAATTGCTATTTAGTTAAAATTCTGGAGGTAGGCTTCATGGCTACTATTCAGATAATCAAATATAACACAACCAACTAGATGTGCTCTTACAGAATTCTTCAATCATTTAATATTTAGGTTACCATAGTCACAAAACCATCAGAAATAAACGGTAGATCATACACACATAGTGATCTTCAATTAAAGATTCTTCCGAAAACCACCAACCCATAGCCCCCCACATGTCATTCATAGCCACATAAAGCACACTATGCAATTCCAGGTAAAGTCACAATCACATTCACAACTCTCCACATGCAGTCTCGAATACTACTCACACCTAATCTAAAACTACACACACGCAGGGGAAACCTCATGCAGCCACACAGCTAAGTCTACCTTTCACACAATCGGAGGGTACATCCCAAAGAGTGGCACGCACCCAAAAGGCAGCAGGTTGTGTACAGAGGAACACCCCCAAACATATATACACACTCGCAGCACCCGCTATGCGCAGGGACACGATTTGCGCGACAGAATTCCTCTGGGTTGTCAAACAGGCAAAATCCCTCTTCGCAGGGCTAGCTCCAGGTCACTTGACGGTCATCCTCAGGGTCACGCCCACGAACCACGCCCGAGGCCCTGCTCTTACAGATGTGAGCGTTCGAATACTGCGGTCCTGGTTCCCTCCCCTAAACTGCTAGGCTGGGATCGGACTCCGGGTTTCCTCCCGGATCTCTCCTCCCCGATCTCTCCTCTCCCTTAGTCTGCTCTCCCGGCAGGACTTCAAAGCTCCTTCCTCGGCCTCCTCCGAACCCCTAAGACCCACCAGCCTCACCCCCGGCCGAGCCTGTTGTCTGCGCCTGCGCATTCGCGCCGCGCCGTGGGTTTGCGCTCCCAGGAGTCTCCGGGGCGGCCCGTTAGTTGCTGCGCGGTCCTGGTTCCCCGCGCTGCGCGGCTTTATCAACCTGTGCTCGGCTCTGGCGTAGATAGGTTTACCCCAAGTCCCCAGGTCTACCAATGAAATGCGACCCCTGCTTCATTTTCTTCTGGACTTGAGGTCATTATTTTCTGTGTGGTGAGTAGAGGTGACCCGGGTCCGGGTGCGAGAGGAATTCGCAGCCCGAGGCTCCGAGTTCCCGGGATGTGGGTGGGCAGCGTGGAGGCCGAAGTCGGAGCCAGCTGCTGTGGCGAGTTTTTGTGGTCGTGGTCATGTGTGCGCGGTGCGGAGGGGCCCGACTGCCGATTGGACTCGCGGGACCGAGTGGGGGCGGGGCCGCACGTGTGACCCTAGTTAGCGGCGATTGTGAGGTATGTCATTCTGTGACCCTAGTGACTCTGTGCCCGGCTGTTGTGACCGACCAGAGACGGTGATCAAAACTGACCTGTAGTTTTGTTTTCAACTTTTAGGAAACTAGAGATTCATTTGGCAGTTCAAGACCTGCGGATGTGAACCAGGTCCCCAGGCGACTGGAAGACTCCAGGGTATGGCCTCTGTTGCTTTCATACAGAATGAGTGCATTCCGTATCCATTGTTCAGGGCTTAATACACCGTAGGCATGCAGTGGAGCCCACCCAAATTCCAAGGAATTTGTTGCACTGGGATTTCTTTCACTGTCATTTCACTTTATAGCCACACTGCGGAGCATGCGGTCAAATGGTTACCAAAGGAAGGTTGGATATTTGAAACCTAGAATTTAAAAAAGGAGCCTTGTGTTGGTACGGAGAGTTTAGGACTGGAGTTGTACCCAGTGCAGAGTCCTGGGAAGACAAGATGTTGAGGTTCCAAAACTACAATTCGTTCCCCCTGGTAATCCCTTTTTAGAAGCTTTGTGGAGCAAGTTGCATTAGCCTCAGCTTTTTCATAGCTCTGTCTACAGAAAACAGCTGTGAACGCAGAAACAGATTCCAGTCCCAGACTTCAGAGAACCGAGTCACCTCCCTTCTTCATACTGGTTATTGAACCTAGGGTTGCTCTACTGCTGAGCTACATCCCCATCCCCAGCCCTAGGTTTTTTGTTTGTTTGTTTGTTTTTTGTTATTTTGAAACAGGTTCTCACAAAGTTGTCCAGGTTGCCTGGAATTTGTGATCCTCCTGCCTCAGCCTCCAGAGCCCTTGGAATTACACGGATGCACAACTGGGCCTGACTTCACAGGAAAAATCTTAATATTGAAAATGTCATTATATTGGTGAAATACTGTAAAAGAATGTACAAGATTTGGTGGGCTTATTATTTCAGTCATTTGGTTTTAGTACTGTTCCCTGTCATTTTGCTAGTCTGTTTCCTTATTTTTTGTAATAACTAGACGAGCTTTCCTTCCCAACTTTTCAGAAAAATGCTTTAAATATATGTAGGTTTTATTGTGTGTCCCTGATGATGGAATTAATGCAGTCTTGTTGGAAAAAACCTCAATAACCTAAGTTGATTTATAAAACTAAAAATATGTAAGTACTAGCCAGTCAATGGTGCACTCCTGTAATCCCAGCAACTCTGAAAGATGAGGCAGAAAGATCTCAAGTTCCAGACCAGTCTCAGAAATTTAGTGAGAAATTTAGTGAGACCCTGTCTCAAATTAAAAATAAATTAGGGCTAGGGATGTAACTCAGTGGTAGAGTGCCCCTGGGTTCAATCTCTTGCACCACACACAGGATACATAAGTAATTATAGTGTTAGCATCTAGAAGCCTTTATTATTGATATTGTGGTATATATTCTTCCAGATTTTTTTCTCTCAGTATATGTTTAAATGTTTGTTTTTTAGAAAATTTACATGAATTAGTTATTTAATGTCAAAAGACTTCTCTACTTCTCAGAAAGGAAAGAATTCATCCCAGTCACTGGTTTTGTTATCTTCCCTGCATGTAAGGAGAAAAAGGAAGTGCCAGTGATACTTAACTGATTTCATAACCCTTCTGAGTACCTATTGGAATTTACTCATAATTACCAGGAAAACAGAATAGGTTGTTAGCTAAGTAAGGCAGCTACTGAGAATTATATTTATTATTAGTAGTAGCAGTATTTTTAACAGATTTAAGTAACCTTTCATAAAACAGCACTATTCTCTCAAGACCAGTTGTCTTGGGAGACCTCATTATATAAATCACATGGTCAAGGGTAAGTTTATAATATATGATAACAGAATTAGATGTTAGTAGTTATAAATGTGCATAAAAGTATGATGGACAGTGAACAAAATTGATCTTTTAATTATGTTTGTTATCTAATTAGATTATTTGACCTAGGTTTGTTTATGAGCAGAATTCTCTTTTTCTTCCTTGTCTTTCTGAAAAATCATTGTGGATAATGTTAATAAAGGCTACGCTTGCAGGCTATGCCCTATATTAACTTTATAAGGAAGAGCAGACCTAAGAAGCTGAAATTTTCTGTCCCAGAATGGTAAGGACATAAGGAAATTTTCTTTAGTAGTAATGGATTACATGATGTGAAATAGTCTATCATCAATAAAAATATATAATATTTATTAGGTGTTTTTTAGGTACATCATAGAAATAATTTGTTATTGTTATTTTTCTTTTTTTCCCCCTCACATAATCTTGACAACTCTTTGAGTACTAGGTACTATTACTTTTCTCATTTTATTGACGAAGCATTCTTGGTAATGCAAATAATATACTTGCTAAGGCACAGAATTAGTAATGTTCGGAGTTAATCAAGATTAACATACTGGGGTTGTGGCTTAGTGGTGGAGTGCTTGCCTAGCATGTGTGAGGCACTGGGTTCGATTCTCAGCACCACATATAAATAAAATAAAGGTCTGTCAACAACAAAAATATATTTTAAAAAAAGATTAACATACTGAAAGCTTAATCACGTTACTATTTTTATTTGATACTTCTGGTTTCAGAGATCTCAGTCCACAGACTACTGGCTCCATTTCTTCAAGGCTTGAGGTGAGGCAGAACATCATGGGAGAAGGGTTGGTGGAGGAAAGCAGCTGGGAACATGGCACCAAGAAGCAGATAGAGCTTAACTACATATATTATTATTATTTTCGAATGTACATAACCTCCCAATAATTTTTAAAAATTTTTTTTTAGTTGTAGATGGATACAATACCTTTATTTTTATTTATTTATTTTTATGTGGTACTGAAGATCGAACCCAGGGCCTCACATTACGTGAACACTCTACCACTGAGCTACAACCCCAGCTTTTTAACCTGCTTCTCTCACTTGGTAATTCACAATTGTCATTCCATAACATTTAATATGAATTAAGGTTATTATGATTAAAAATGAGTATACATATGAATAATAACTACCCACCATTATTTAACATTTTCTCTACCCCCTAGATATTTATGGGTTCCAAAAACTATTCTGTGAAGAATATTCTTGAGTTATGTTTACTTTCATATCTATTCCTTCCCATATATGCCAGAACTTGTTCTTGTATGTGAAGGGACACCAGAATTAAAAAGAGATGCTAATCATTCAGCAAAGATCAAATATATGAGGGAGTAAAAGTAAGAGAGTGTGATAAAAGGGCTCTTAGAGAAGTTAGATAACATGTTGGGAATTCATAGGTGTGAGAAGTAGAAAGTCTGGTGGTTCATTTTCAAAATATAATATTTAGCTTTAATTGGGATATAAGATCCAGTGATAGCCATTTTGATTATAGTGTTTTCCTTTGTCCTAAGTAAGTTTAAAATCAGCCAATTGCATTGTAATCCCGAGCTCCTCCTTTCAGAGCAAGGGGCAGTGATTGTTTTATGAATTAAAAACAGGTGGACTGCTCACCCTAGCATGCTTGCTTGCCAGACTTTGTTCGGTAGTACACTCTTCCTAAGAAGAAAAGTTTGCCTTATTGAGTAACTTTTGAGGATGTGACTGATTTCTGTGGCATCCTGATATTTCCAACATAGGGAAGAGAGATTCTGATCATGGCAAGCATTTTCAGATTATGACCAAATTATAAAGAAGACTTGAGAGCTCCAGTAAATAGATTTTATGTAATAAGCTTTTTGCCTTATAAGCTTTTACTTTTGTAATATTATATATAAATGAAACTAATAGAACAAGAAAATTAAATAGCTTTTGCGTGGGTATTGCAAAAGAGGAATGAATTAGAAGCAAGTTTAAAACAATATGTCAAATATATGAAAGCAACATTTAGAACATGCTCGTGTCTGTGAGACATCTCTTGGGGACTTTTAACCATTCTTTTATAAAGAAAACTCCAAACATCATTAATATATAAAAATCAGAGTGTTAAAGCAGGTGTTAGGAGCCAAAGTAAAGTCATTCACATGGCATTTAATTTATGTAGTATTAAGCATTTTTTCAAAGTTCAAGGAAAGACTATTTAAGACTGCCTTTTTGTGCGTGTCATGCTGGGAATTGAACCCAGGGCTTTGTGCACGTGAGGCAAGCACTCTACCAACTGAGCTATATTGCCAGCCTTTAAGACTAATTCTTAATTTTTTTTGAGGTCCAATCTTTTTGTTACTTTTCAAAATTTCTTAATTTTGACTGAACTAAGTAGAAGCTCTGAGAGAAGACAACCTGCATCTTTTCACAATCTGTTCCTGTCATTTTTCTTCTGCTGTCCAAAAGCATATGCTTTAGCCTCCACCTTATTTTTCTTTTCTTTCTTTCTTTGTTTTTTTGCAGTATAAGGATTGAGCCCCCTACTGCAGGGTCCTCAACCATTGCGCTACATCCCCAGCCTCTTCAAAATTATGTTTTATTTTGAGACAGGGTCTTGCTAAGTTGCTGAAGCTGGCCTCAAATTTATGATCCCCGGGTCTCAGTCTCCTAAGCAGCAGGATTACAGGCATGTACTACCATGCCTGGCCTTTATTTTTCTTAGGCTTTTTCTTCAGAGAAATATATCAGTGTTTGTGATGCAAGACATGTGGAATAACAAAACACTGTTTTACCTGGTTTGTTTAAGAGGGCTTTCTGATAATATATTGGTGGACATTATCTTCTTCTGGGAGATTGGAAAGTTATAGATTCTGCTAGATCTTTTGGGCACTAGCCCATGAGACACAGTAGTGTTAATCAGTTTGGGAATATTCTTTTTTCTCTCTTTTTTTTCCCCCCAGAAATCAAGTTGAGAATGCTCAGATTGGCATTAACAGTGCAACCCCAAACAGATTTATGCTTTCTTTCTCTAGTTCTCCTTAGTCTGTAACAGGAGTGCTTCTTACTTAGTAGGACATGGACACAGCCATGGGTTAAAACACTCTGCTTCATGTTTTTTGTTACTGCCACTAATTCAGATCACATAACCCTTCCATTCTTCATCAGCAACTCCTGTGACCTTATGTGTCTCATAAAAAGTACAAAGTTTGTGTTCATCATCACTCTAATAGGTTCCTGGCAGCAAGGGGCTGGGAAGAAGATATTCAACTTTATCTTAATACAGATGATCACCTATGAGGCACTTCAAAAAAAGGTCAATGCTAGGGGCTGGGGTTGTGGCTTAGTGGTAGAGCACTTGTCTTACACATACGAGGCACCTCAAAAAGCTCCCTTGCATTCATGATTCTTTATAGTCAAAAACTCTCCAGAATCCTAACCCCTGGCAACCACTGATCTGTTTATTATCCCTTAATTTTGTTTTTTTGGGGGATGTTATATAAAGGTAATTATATAATATTTAATCATTTGAAACTGCCTCCTTTCATTCTACTTAATGCCTTTAAAATTCATCCAAGTATGGGGCTGGGGCTGTGGCTCAGTGGTAGCGTGCTTACCCAGCATGGTTGAGGTACTGGGTTCGATCCCTGGCACCAAGTACAAAATAAATAAAATAAAGGTACTGTGTTCATCTATAACTAAAAAAAAAAAAAAAGAATTCATTCAAGTATTTGTAGTTCATTCCTTTTTATTCATTGTTTGATGAACTATAGTTTGCTTTTCTATACACCTGTTAAGGGACTTAGGTTGTTTACAGTTTTTGAATTTGAATCTGAGTATTCGGTTTGAATATTAATGTATAGTTTTGTGTAAATTTAAGTTTTCATTTTTCTAGGGCAGACACATAAGAATGATACTGCTGAACTATTTATTCATAAGCTTACAGTTAACATTATAAGAAAATGCCAAATAATTTTCTAAAGTGACTGTTCTTACATTCTCACCAACACTTTTTATTTTGGGGCAAGGTGATACTGGGGATGGAACCTTGAACCTCAGGCATGATAAGCTGATGCTTTACTACTGAGATACATCCCCAACCATTCTCATCAGTAATTTATAAGTTTTAGTTCCTTTGCAAGCTAACCAGTTCTTGGTATTTTCATTTAAACATCTTATCATGGTTTTAATCTGAACTTCTCTAATTGCTAATGATGCTGGACATCTGATAATTTGTCATCCTTTTATTATCTTTTGTGAAGTGTCTATTGAAGTATTTTACTCATTCCCACCCATTTGCTATGGAATCTGCAGCCTTGCACATGCTAAGGAAGCACTCTACTATTGAAATATACAACTAATTTTGCCCATTTTTGTGTTATGGTTTGTTTGTTTGTTTGTTTTTAACTGTTGAGGTGGAAGAGTTCTTTATACTTTATGAATTTAAGTTCTTTGTCAGATGTATGATTTGCAACTCTTCTGTCTCAGTCTATAACTTTTCATTCTCTTCACATTGTCTTTTTTTTAAAGAGAGAGAGAGAAGAGAGAATTTTTAATATTTATTTTTCAGTTTTCGAAGGACACAACATCTTTATTTTATTTTTATGTGGTGCTGAGGATTGAACCCAGTACCCTGCGCATGCCAGGTGAGCACGTTACCGCTTGAGCCACATCCCCAGCCCCTTCACATTGTCTTTTTAATTTTTTTTGAACCCGGGGGTGCTTTACCACCGGGCCACATTCCCAGTCCATTTTATTTTTTTATTTTGAGACAGAGTCTTGCTAAGTTGCTTAGTGCCTCACTATATTGCTGAGGCTGGTCTCAAATTGGCAGTCCTCTTGTCTCAGCTTCCTGAGTTGCTGGGATTATAGGCATGTACCACCATGCCTGGCTTCTTCACATTGTCTTTTAAGAATTTAAAATTGATAAAGTTCAATTTATGAATTTATTTCTTTCATGGGTTGTATTTTTAGTGTCCTGTTTAAGAACATTTTACCTAATCCATATATTCTCAATGGGTGACATGGTTCATAGAAGAGCCAAAATTGATGCTTGGGGAGATGCAAGAAAATTATTATTTATGTATAAAGCACATATTCATATAGAACACACAGAGACATACAGTATATCTGTGATATTAATATTTCATGGGTATACAAAGACCAATTGCTCTTCAACCAATCAAAGGCTTTAAAGATCTAGGGAGATTGGGGTTGGGGTTGTGGCTGCTTGCCTAGCATGTGTGAGGCGCTGGGTTTGATCCTCAGCATCACATAAAATAAATAAAATAAAGGCATTGTGTCCAACTACAACTAGAAAAATTTTTAAAAAAAAAAAGATCTAGGGAGATTGATGTTGTGTGTGAGTGGTTCTATCGTAACTACTGTTGAAGTCATTGAGATAAAAGAATGATGGCTCAGAATTTTTATCATGTTCCTTAATGTAATGAAAGCTAATGTCTTTTTTCAAATAACTCAGTTAGTTAGTTAAAGGAACAATGTGCATTAGGTATTTTTTTAAGTGAGAGAGAAAAGTAAAGCTATTTTAAAACTGTTTTTAAATTTAACTTTAAAGTGCTCAAGTCAGCCAGTCACAGTGGCACTACATTAGCTACAAAGAAGTATTAGTAATCACTTCTACAAAAATTTCAAGTTGCCATCTGACAAAATTAAATACTACATTTATTTTAAAAAACCTGTTTTCCCTTGAAATTTGAGTAAATGGGTTCACCTTGTTGATATTTACGGCAACTATCCTAAATATGTACTAGAAGATATTGAATCATCATGAAAAGAAGTCGACTTCCAGCTAAACCCAAAATGTTTATATTCTTTTGTAGTTTACAAAGTGTTTATAGTTTTGTTTTGACTTTCAACTTTACTACATTGTGTTGTTGAGATAATATTATTTGACCTGAGCACTTTGGCTTTGTTTGTTTGTTTGAGATTGAATCCAATGATACTTAACCATTAAACTACATCCTCAGCCCCTTTTATTTGTTATTTTGAGAGAGGGTGTTACTTGCAATACTCCTGCCTCAGCCTCCTGAGTCACTGGATTTACAGGCATGTGCCACTGCGGCTGGCTGACCTGAACACTTTTAAAGTTAACTCTTATGATTTTCTGAAGATTACAATAAAAATATTTTGTGTTGTACCTAAGAATGTCTCTTCTGCAACTAGTAAATTTTTGAAAGCTTAATTTGGAATCAGTGCAAACTGTTCCTTTGGTAACCAATAGTATTTAAAGAACAAAACTAGTCAATAAAATGCATTAGTTTTAGCATAACAGCAAAAAAAAAAGTCATGGAAAGAGGCCAATGTTTGACCTTAGTTATGCTAATTTGGATACATGTTTATTCTCATCTAAATGAAAATATTATAGGAAAGAATATACTCAATTACTGTAGTAAGATAAGAGAAGGATGGCAGGCAGAGGAAGAAAGAGGATAACTATTGCTTAATTCTTGTGGTTAATACTTATTTTGATATTCATCTGTCTCTTTCAATGTTAATTTCTTATCTTACTAATGTTTACCTGTATTCTTATTGAAATCTATTTGGTGAAAAATTTGTTCTATAACCAACTGCATTGTTCTAGGAGCTTTTTGTTTAGTGATATATGAATAAACTATTGTTTCTGCCCTTGTAAAGCTTTAGGAATAAAGAAATAAATGCATTAATTTAAATAATAAATAATTATTGAATAACAACATAAAGAGAAATCAATGTATGATGAAAGCAAGGAAGTAGGTGCTGTAATAGAAAGATATAAACATGAACTTCTTTGAGTAGGACAATTGTTTTATCCTTTTTGAATAAGAGACCTTAAAATTTGAAGGATAAAAAGGAGCCAGTACTACACCAAGTCCATCTGTGAAATGAAAAATTTGGGTAGCTCCAGAAGATGAGAAATGAATGCATGGTCTGGAAAATTGAACCAGATTTTAGGGTACAGGATATAATGGGAAAAATACATTTTGTTAACCATGAGGGTTTGTTTGCATTTTGTTCTAAAGAAAAAAATGAAACAATTAAAAAATTTTGAGTAAAGACTACTTGACCTTCAACATGTATCATATTGTACAAATGTTAAAAATATAGAGGTATAGAGGTCATAGATATAGCTCAGGGTAGATTATTTCCTTAGCATGAAAAGACCTTGGATTTGATCTTCAACACTGCAGTTAGTTGATAAATAAATATATATGTTTGGGACCTATCCTCTAGATGCTGATGTAGTTAATTTGGGTTGGTGGCTTTACATCAGTACCTGCAACAACATTCTCAGTTGATTCTGGTCAACACCTGAATTTCAAAACTATGGACTTAACTTTTGTCCTGTCATAACCTCCACATCTTATATATAACCTCATTCTCTATTTTGTTGCCTGTGTTCAAATTTCATAATATTTTATTAATTTTGATTCATTATTTTCAGTTTTGAGTCACTTAATTTTCTGGTACAGGAGAAATAAAATACTTTGTTTTCTTTCTTCTGTTCTTTCAGATTTGGAGTCCAGATAGGCGATAAAAACATTTTTGAGGAGCAAAAAATGGTTCCAAGTGTGAGGTAATGGATAGAAGTAAAATACACAACCTTGAGGACTCCCTTTTCAGAAGTAACTGAGTACAAAGAGCTTTTATAGGGAGAAAAGGGAGGAACAGGGCAAGAAGGCAATGTCCTGAGCCAGGTCTTTGTCATCCTGGGCATGTCTCCCTTATTCTCATGCCCAATAATTAAAATCTCAATGATCCTGAACTTCCTGGGGCTACTTCCTATAGTTGATGCAGAGAACTGAAGACTAAAGCGAGGTGGGGTGTCACCAAGGATAGCAGGTAGAAATCTGAAGAAAGATTAGTCAGCAGTTAACATCTTCACCACATAGGTGGGACTTCTCTTTACAACTTATAATCACAGCAAAAGGGAGGGGTATAAACCTTGCAGAAGGATTAGGGATTGGGACAAAAAGGGAAATGGGTGGGAAGGAAAAGGATTGGGGAGGGAGGTGAAAATTCTGCTAAAGACAACTTTCCAAAGGGACTTCTCTGTAATAGCACCCCTGGAAATCCTAAGCATAACTTGCAGTAGTCAGGCCATACAGGTATAGTAGTTCAAGGACTTAGAGGTAAATTAGGAAAAAACCAGACCATAAGAGACAGTAATATACAGTCAGCTTTATTAAGTGGCACTTCACAGATTCTTGAAAGGGGTGTCCCTCCCAACAGAGATGGCAGCATGGGAACACTGCCCAAGGGAATAGATATTATCTTCTAGGGGAAACAAGGGTATTATGCATGTAGGTGATGATGTAGCAATGAGTAGGGAGTCTCAAGAGTTCTGAAGGGCATCAGTGGGTGTTTTGTTTGTTTATAGTTATAGCATTTGTCTAAACTATTGTTAAAACATGTTGGTGCTTCAGGGGTATGCAAAGTAGATGGGCTCTAAATGGCCAAAAATATGTTTATGTGATATATAACTGTAATGCACCAATAAAAATTGTGGAAAAATGTTTATGTGGGTATAATAAAACATATATTAATTTGTGAGAATTTGTGTTTGCCTCTAGTGGGCTCTGAGCTAAAGGTCCTAGCCTTCTGTGAAGAAGTAAACTGCTTGGGAGCCAGTTTTGGCTAATAAATAGAAGCCATCTTTGATCCATTTATACAACAAAAGATTAAGAAGGCCCCTCAAATGTCCCTCCAATCACAGTCTCCCACCCAAAAATTCAAGTTTGTTTTTTGACTTCAGAGAAACTTCCTGAAGGCAATTGGTTTCAAATGGTTTGCTTTGTCTATAACATCATTTCATCTACCTCAGGACTATGAACAGCATCCAGAAGGACTGCGTGGAAAGTACCAGAGTTGGGGCCACCTTGAACATCGTATTGATTTTACCCTAGGCTAAGTAGCCAGCTGAAATTCTGAAAGTTTGTAGTGTCTTTGAAAGGCAAGCTACTTTCTGTTTGTATTGGGAGAAAAGGAAAACTTCCAAATGCAGTTTTGAAAAAACACAGATGATTAATGTTCTCACCTCCTAACCCCAGGTTTCCCCAAATGCGGCTTTTATCTTCTTTATCTGTTATTACAAAACCAGTATGTCCCTATAACTTTAAATTTTATATTGTTCTCATTATTTTTTATTTTCATTCCTTTTGTTTATGGAGGAAAAAAGAAGAAAAAAAGCATTTTCATATAAAAACATTTGAATATAATATAACCAGAAAGATATTTTAAAGAAATAGTTGGGACAAAATCCTGAAGCTTATTATTTTGTTTTCACATGAGTTCACATAGCTTTCCACCCATTTTATCCTATTTATACAATAAGTAGCCCAGGAAAGAGCTGTTTCTTTTTGGGGAAATTTGCATTTAATAATTAAACTGCTTTACTAAGGTATGTGTAACAATAAAGACAAGAAAAGCAGAGTTAGGGGGCTGTGTTTGTAGCTCCGTGATAGAGCACTTGCTTAGTATGTGTAAGGAACTGGGTTCAATCCTCAGCACCACATAAAAATAAATAAAATAAAGGTATTGTGTCTATCTAAAACTAAAAGAAAGAAAGTAGTGTCAGACTGTTGCCAGTCTGTCCTTAAAAACTTCATTTAATATAGAAAGCTGAATGCTGGGGCTAGGGTTGTGGCTTGCCTAGCATGTGTGAGGCACTGGGTTCGATTCTCAGCACCACCTATAAACAAATAAATAAATAAAGGTCCATTAATAACTAACAAATTTAAAAAAAAAAGAAAGCCGAATGTAACAAGAATGGTGGGATAACTCCAAGAAAGTTGAGAGTTGAGTCTGTTGAGACATTCCCTGTGACGTGGCCTCCCATAACTCGAAACATTCAGAATGAATCATAAGTCCAGAATGAATCAATCTCTGCATCAAAAATATAGTTTATCAGTAACTCAATTTCAGATGGTCTCACCAGAGAACAAGCCCTTTCCTTATGTACCTGTAAGTGATCCAGCCAGTCCAGCTAGCATTTATGATGTTTTTCTTAGTTTATAGTTCCTAAAAGTGCTGTTCTAAATCTTCAATAGTTCTAGATTCTGAGTCCCACTTGTTGCATAGAATCTTGTTGTGCTAAGGCTGAAACAGGTCATTGTCCAGTTTCAAATTAGAGTCATATATAAACAATTTTTATATGTGAATTCAAGATCTCCAAAAAATCATGGTTTCATTTATTTGACAGGTACAAAGCCTAGACTGCTTATCAGTTTTAGAGTCTAAATTGACCCTCTCAAAAATGTGTACATTAGGAGCCTAGGATGCACAAGACCCTGGGTTCAATCCCCAGTAGTGGGCGAAAAAAAAAAGAATGCACAGCTAAATGCCCATTAGCTGGTGAATCGACCTGTCCATCCACTGGAACAGTATTCAGTCATATAAAGAAAAGGAAGTGATGAATCATGCCACAACATAGAGCAAAGTATGGTGGTGCAGGCCTGTAATTCCAGTGACTTAGGAGGCTGAGGGAGGAGGATTGAAGTTTGAGGCTAACCTCATCAACTTAGTGAGACCTTGTCTTAAAAAAAAATGGTTAAAAGAACTTGGATGTTTCTGGAGAAATTTGCATTTAATATTCAAACTGCATTACTAAGGAATGTATGAGTCAGACTATTGCCAGTCTGTCCTTACAAACTGGATTCAATCCCTAGTATACGATAGATAGATAGATAGATAGATAGGGAAAGAAAGAGAGAGAGAGAGAGAAAACCAGGGGCTGGTGACAAGGAAGAGCTGCCATTGTTTGTAGTGTTTCTTATTCTGGTGTTAAAATGTACTAGAGTAGGGTTGGGGGTGTGGCTCAGGACTCGCCAAGCATGTGTGAGGCCCTGGGTTTGATCCTCAGCACCTACATATAAATAAATAAAATAAAGGTATGGTGTCCACCTACAACTAAAATTGTGTGTGTGTGTTTAATTTACTAGAGTATTACATGGTGGTGATGGTTATACATCTTTGTGAATATACCAAGAACTACTGATTTCTGTACCTTAAGAGTAAATTTTATGGTACATGAATTCTCAACTTTACAAAGAGACTAAAAGAATATGTACACAGCTGAAGAGCATCACCCACTAAGGGTCAGGCATTTGATTTTCACAAGAGCATTAGCAAGATGATTGCTTTCTAAAACATTCAAAGTGTAACTCCAGTTCACTACAAAAATTGGTAATATAAATGATACACAGGGCCTTTAGATTTTGTAAAGACTTTAAAGATTGTTAAGCTTGGTGCAGTGGCACAAACCTGTAATTTCAGTAAATCCAGAGGCTGAAGCAGTTGGATTTCAAGTTCAGGGCCAGCCTTGGCAACTTAGTGAGACCCTATCTCAAAAGAAAAAAGAAAAAAGGGCCGAGGTTGAAGCTCAGTGGTAAAGCACCCTATTGGTTAAGTCCCCTTTAGAATAAAAAAACCGAGGGTTGTGGGGTGGAGATCATTAAGAATTCGCTGTTGTGAAAGCACATTGTTAAGTGGTATAGGAGACTCATCTAGAGAATTCATATTGGTAGTTAAGTCATAAAATTATGGAATATGGGAAGACCTATACTTGGGGAGAATACTTTTATCAGAAAGGTTTCTTGGTAAGAAACACTATGAGATATATTTAAAATTGGATAACAATAATATTTTATTCAAGGGCTGGGGCTGTAGCTCAGTGGCAAAGTGCTTGCCTAGCATGCATGAGGCACTGAGTTCGATCCTCAGCACCACATAAAAATAAATAAAATAAAGGCATTCTGTCCATCTACAACTACAAAAAAAAATTAAAAGATTTTATTCAAGTCAGGTGCATTGGTGAATGCCTGTAATCCCAGAGGTTTGGGAGGCTGAGGCAGGAGGATGTGAATTCAAAGCCAGCCTCAGCAAAAATGAGGCACTAAGCAACTCAGTGAGACCCTGTCTCTAAATGAAATACAAAATAGGGCTGGGGATGTGGCTCAGTGGTTGAGTGTCCCTGAGATATCATCCCTGGTACTGCCCCTCCAAAAAAGATATTATTCACATGATGATTAGATAATTTATATCTTGAGAAAATGCAAATATAAGAAATGTATTAAGGTCTTTATAGCAATATTCCTCTATCAGATAATTTTTTAAATGTTTTATTGACATAATTAATGACTTTCACTTCTCTCCTGAATATTAGGATGTTTATACCATAGAGAAAAATTATGTGACTATAAAAATTGCTTTTTTCATGAACTCTAATAATTCAGAAAAAGCAATTTCATATGCCATTTGTTATTTTGAGCAATATAAAGTGGTGTCCAACACCATTCAATTATTCTTTCACATAATCAAATTTATGTTAGAAAATGACCTCTTAGTGTAATAAGTGGGAGAATGGAAATACTTTTAGCCAATCATTTATATACCTAAATTTCTATTCTTAAATATGTAGTTGTTAGAATTTTTTCACTATTGTAAAGGATAAAGATATCCTTTTTATGTAAGCAGAATTTTCTCTAAGATATGTATGTGTTTATAAGTAGCATTAAATCTGGACACAGGTGAATATAAATTGTTTATATTTTCAAAATACATATTTGATGACATGCATTCAGTTTGTTGTGTTTCATTACCAATATATGGTAATGAGATAGGGATTTAGGACAGAGAAATACTGAATTTTAAGGGAAATGCTCACAAGCCACTGAGATGCAGAAAACTTATCTTTTGCATATCACATACACAAATGAAGCAGGCTCAATTTCTAAAAATTATCCGTGTATACTGATTTCATTGCTGTTCTTAGCATATGAGAATATAGAGGCAAAACCAATTGAGATGAAGAAAACAGTTGTAAATCTTGAGCAACATGCCCTTGTAGAATGAGGGAAATTCACAAGGAAAACTCCACCCTGAATCCACCTCTAATCCGGCTCCTGATAGCCCTTCTATAAATATTGGATTGTCAGCCCAAGGCAGGGCTGCTCACTCCGCATTCTCCCTTGAATGTGTGTATGACTTCCTAAATAAACCTGTCTATTGCCTTTGTCTGGCTCGTGTTGAAATTCTTTTCTGTCTCCTATGCCAAGAACCCTGCTGGTCCTGAGTTGAGTTCCCCTCTTCTCTGGGGACTCTCTTAACCCTTCTCCTGACAGTTGCAGGTGCTATTGTAGTATAACAAACTGTCTTAATACAGTATTACCCATCAATTCCTTTGTGTAAATCTCCATCAATCTCTTCTTGTATATCTGATTTGTTATGTTGTCATGGTGGTTTGAGTATTGATTTTCACTAAGTATACAAATGAAACAGGCTCAATTTCTAAAAATTATCTGTGTGTGCTGATCTCATTGCCATTTTTAACATATGAGAATGTAGAAGAAAAACAACTCAAAACTGTTTTTGTACTATATTTCCATAATACCAGATATATGGGGTTTCCCCACACACCAAAAAAGCAATAGTTTTTTTGTATCAGCAAGTGTCCTTTAATACAGTCCTACCCTGTATTACATCCCACAAATTGAGGGCTAAGTACCAAAACTACCCCCAACTCCTTTTTTTTTAAAGCCTGTATTTTATTTTTTATTTTTATGTGGTGTCAGGAATTGAACCCAGTGCCTCATGCATGCTAGGCAAGTGCTCTACGACTGAGGTACAACTCTGCCCCCATACTTTTGATGGCTATAAATCAGGGTTACCACAATTCCCTCTAAGGTTTGATTAATTTTATGGAGTGACTCACAAAGCTCAGAAAAGTTTATCGTTTATTATTTTATTATAAAGGATATTACATAGATGAAGAGATGCATATGGATAGGAATGGGGGAAGGGACTCAGGTCTTCCATGTCCTCTACAGAAACAGTGCCCTTCAGGACCCTCCATGTATTTAGCAATCTGGAAGCACTCCAAGACTTGTCACTTGTGAGCTTTTATGGAAACTTTCATACTGAGGTGGGATTTTCTATCAGTGACCACTGGTGATGGACTTAACTTGCACTCATAGCCCCACCATCAAGGCTGGAAGTCCTAACCCTCTAATGACTTTCAGGTGAGTATCCTCCATCCTGAAGCTACGGAAGCCATCACCTGACTCATTAGCACGCACACGGACACTGAAGATTATAAAGATTTTAGGCCTCATTTGCAAGGAAACAGGAAAAAGGCTACATATTCCACAGTATATTTTGCAACACAAGTAGAGTGGATGGCTCAGTCATAGGGAACTTTATTAGATAATGCCAAATTGTTTTCCAGTTTATATCTGTGTTCTAGTGAGGGAATATATTAGTCCTAGAACCTTATTTCTTTTTGGGGGGGGCCGATTTATCCTTTTTAAAAAATTTTTTAAAAATTTGTTCTTTTTAGATCTACATGACAGTAGAATGTATTTTAACATATTGCACATACATGGAGTATAACTTATTCTAATTAGGATCCCATTCTTGTGGTTTAAAATGATGTGGAGTTACACTGGTCATATATTCATATATGAACATGAGAAAGTTATGTCTGATTCATTCTACTGTCTTTCCTATTCCCATCCATGTCTCTTCCCTTCATTTCCCTTTGTCTAATTCAAAGTACTTCTATTCTTCCCTCCCCCTTGTTATTGTGTGTTAGCATCCACATATCAGAGAGAACATCTGGCTTTGGGGGATTGGCTTATTTCACTTAGTCTGATACTCTGATTCCATCCATTACCAACAAATGCCATAATTTCATTTTTCTTCATGGCTGGGTAATATTACATTGTGTATATATACCACATTTTCTTTCTTCATTCATCTGTTGAAGGGCACCTAAATTTGTTCCATAGCTTAGCTATTGTGAATTGAGTTGCTATAAACATTGATGTGCTGCATCACTGTGGAGTGCTGATTTTAAGTCCTTTGGGTATATACTGAGGAGTGGGATAACTGGGTCAAATGGTGGTTCTATTCCAAGTTTTCTGAGAAATTGTCATACTGCTTTCCTGTGTATTTGCACCCATTTGCAATCCCACCAGCAATGTTGCACCAATTTGAAGTCCCACCTGCGATGCAATCCCCCCATCCTTGCCAACATTTTTACTTGTATTTTTTTTATAGTACACAAATAGAGCACACATTTTCTATGGTTGTACACAAAGTAGATCTTCATGTCTTCACACATGTATCTAAGGTAATGATGTCCATCTAATACCACCATCATTCCTATTCCCATGCCCCCTCCCTTCCCCTCCTGCCACTTTACCATATCCAAATTCCTCCATTCTCCCATGCTCTCCACCACCAACCCACATCATGGATCAGCATCCATTTATCAAAGAAGACATTCAGCCTTTGTTTTTTGGCGATTGGTTTACTTCACTTAGCATGATGTTCTCCAACTCCATTCACTTACCTACAAAGGCCATGATTTTATTCTCTTTTAATGCTGAGTAATATTCCATCGTGTATATAAACCACAGTTTCTTTATCCATTCATCTATTGAAGGGCATCTAGGTTGATTCCACAATTTAGGCATTTGAATTGGGATGCTATAATCATTGATGTGTCTGCATCAATATACTATACTGTTTTTAAGTCCTTTGCATATAAATTGAGGAGTAGGTATCTGGGTCAAATGGTGGTTCCATTCCAAGTTTTCTGAAAAAACTCCATACTGCTTTCCAGAATGGTTGCACCAGTTTTCAGTCCCACCAGCAATGTATGAGGGTACTTTTTTTCCCCCACATCCTTGCCAACATTTTTATTACTTATAGTCTTGATGAGTGCCATTCTGACTGGAGGGAGACGGAATCTCAGTGTAGTTTTAATTTACATTTCTCTGCTAGAGATGTTGAACTTTCCTTTAAGTACTTTAAATAGTTTGAAATACTGGTTTTTACAGAACATATTTTATTTAGGAAATGATTTTTTAGATACTATGAGTTGTATCTTGTGATCAGAACTATTTCCAGCT